ATTGGGAGAGCCACTATAAATTTCTGTTAGCCTCTCTCCTGAATTTTAGTTACCATGTCTTCTGTAATCCATTCCTCCCTCTGTAGCTTAGAATATTTTCTCTAAACCACCTATTAGATCATGTCACTCTTGTGCTGAAAATAGTTCCCCATTGATAGCTCCCTATTGTTCTTTAGATCGAGTCTAAACTCCACATATCTTACCAGGCCTTTCCTAATCTGGACCCTGCTTCTTTCTCCATTTCCCCACTTCCTGTTGGAACCTTGACACATGCTCTGTGCCATTTCTTTTCCCCTTCAAAGCATTTGTACATGTTGCTCTTCTCACTTCGATAAGTCTAAGCTCCTTTCCTTGATGAATGTCTACTGGACCCATGGGTCTCAACCTAAACGTTACTTCCGGTAGGCCTGAAAAACATCACTTACTATGACTCTAAACATAACTTCCTGGAGGAAGTGGATACCCACACACATGAGCATGTACTCTCCAGCCTCCCTAACAAGTCACCACTTCCTGCCACGTCTGAGGGCTCCTACAGAATAGCACTGTGCTCTCAGCCTGGTCACAGAATTCCCTACACTGTGCTATTGTTTGCTTTTCTACAGCTCTCTAAGGGGCAGCAACCAGGTCTTGTTCACCACAGTGTACATAGTACCAAGCATATAGTGAGCACTTAGAAAATACTAGTTGAAATGAATTACCTTTGTAATTTCGAAGTATTTTTAGCTATATAACTTTTTTAAAAGTCCTATGAGTTAGGATAGGTATAAAGAGTATTCCCATTCTATAGATGGCTTTGTTGAGGCTAAGTGACTTTGTCAAGGCCAACCAGCTAGGACAATGGTTCTATGCCTTTCTAATATTACGATATTTAACTGATTCATCTATAGTTACACTGTATTTTTTTCCATTATTTGGATATAATACATACTTACCTTTGGGCTTAGTTTAAATGGCACATTTGCCAAGTTTCTTTTTTTTAAATCTTTTATCAAGGGAATTTTCTAACATATATAAAAATTACATATATAGTGTAATAAACCCCCATGTAGCACCGCTGAGTTTCAATAATTATCAACTCATAACCAATCTTGTTTACTCTGTGCCCCACCCTCCCATCTTTTATCTACTGGAAGAAAAATCCCATACATTAAATAATTTAATGTGTAAATATTTCAGTTAGCCGAGACCGGTTGGCTCAATGGATAGAGCGTCGGCTTGGAGACTGAAAGGTCCTGGGTTCGATTCCGGTCAAGGGCATGTACCTTGGTTGCGGGCATATCCCCAGTAGGGGGTGTGCAAGAGGCAGCTGATCAATGACTCTCTTTCATCGATGTTTCTAACTCTCTATCTCTCTCCCTTCCTCTCTGTACAAAATCAATAAAATATATTTAAAAAAAAGATTTAAAAAAATATTTCAGTTAAACGGTTCAGTAAATAAATCATTCATAGGTATATCTAATTGGTAGTATTAAAAAGACTCATAAATGGGGTTCTTCCTTATAGCTCAATAGGAGAAGCAAAAATATTCATTATTTATTATTGGGGGGTGGGAAGTGTTGTGAAGTCTCTCTCCTGGGTGTAGAATCATCAGCATTTAAGCTCTCTGAGTGAGGGGTGTGAATTAAGGCATAGATAAAATCAGCACAAAATTAACTCCGAAAAATGGATCTCAAAACTTGGACACCTTGAATGAAAAGTATAATATGATGCTTGCAGCTGGTAGCAATTATCTGATTCCTTTTTTCCTTCATCCAAGTTATCACACCAGCCATGTCAGAAGGCCAACTACCCCAACCTGCGTGAAAGACCTGCCTGGGCCTCACCTAACAAATGCTGTCACATGACATTCAATTTGTCCCTCTATAAAATCAACAGTGAGCTCAATTTTCAAAGGAAATTTCCTTCCTTAAACATGAATGTTGGACACAAAACCATCTCAAACGCGATGGGAACCAGGTTGTGCACTAGTAAAATATGATCACACTCATCAGCTCTCATGCCAAGTTGTGCAATAACATAATGGGTCCATAAATCTATGCAACTATCCATGGCGCCAACAATGGAGGGTGGACAGAGTTTTAAATCCTCTTAGAAGCTGTAAAAATTGTCCACAGCCAGTAAAGCAGGCTGGGAAGTTTATGTTTTCCCCAGAGGCTTCACCATAAGAAGCAGGTTAAGGTTGCTGCCAGCACATGGTTTCATTCTGCAAACAAATCATGAATCAAGATACACACATGAGCATATATATATATATATATATATATATATATATATATATATAAAACTCTGATGAAGTTAATATTGTATGTTTCCAAGACCAAGGCAATAAATAAATCTATCTGTTCCACAAAGATGCAGTGAACCATATAGCCACTATGTTTTCAACTATATAACAATTATGTTATTTCCCTAGCCTTCTCATTTCATAGTGTCTGTAATCTCTAAAGTGCCATGTTAATACAGTTTTAATATTATTCAACTAATATTTACTGAGCACCCACTATGTGCCACACACTGCTATAAACGCATAGCATACATCAGTGAACAAACAAATAATAAACATAAAAAACATGATTATTATTTTAGAAGGGGGATATATGCTTTGGAAAACAAAACAAAATGCAATACAAGTAATCGGGATGGGCTAAAAGGGCAGGTTTCAGACTGAGTAGGCCAGGGCAGGCCTCATTGAAAAGGTGAGGTCTGAGCCAAGTTCCCTGGAAAGAGGGGCAGGACACTGGATGGGCAGGTGGAAGTGAGTGTCCAGGCACTCCGTGGCAAAGATCCTCAAGGAGGAGTGTGTGTGGCATGTTTAAGGAAGAGAAAAGGGGCTGGGATAGATTAAGTGAGAGAAGGGAATTGAGTCAATGGTCAGGGTCATTTCAATTACTAGGACATGAAGAAAACCCGCATACATCATTCCTTCCCAAGATGGGGACTTGCTCTTTTGTAAATATTTACAGGAATCTCAAAGTGATCATGTGAAATTGAAATGAGCTCACAAGCTGAGATACTACAAACTTGATTACTCAAAGAAACAATACTAGCTTGGAGAAGTTCAACAAAAGAAGATTTTAAATGAAAGTCTTTAATTTCTAAACATCTGTCCTTTCCACCTTCTTCATAGGGTATTAAGTGAATATCTACTGATGGTATTAAGTGTCCAAAAGTTTCCTTTTCAGATTCTGTTTTTAATTCATGACACCAGGCATGGTTGCTGGAAAATAGTGGGGAGGGTGGTGAATGGAAGTTCTACAGCTGCGGAAAATGATGCAACTTTAAAAAAATTTCATCTCATCAAAAAATGAACAATATTTAAAATCTACCAATAAAGCTGCATTAGAAATCTTTCCAATGCCCTATCCCCCCTAGCCTGCCAGCATAAACATCAAAGCAAACATTTCAGCACTAAATCGAATTAACAAACATTCCTCAAGCACAGCACAAGTGTAGCTTATTACAATCTGGAAAATTCCACAGTATTTATCAAATCCCAAGCAAGGCTACGGTGCTTAGAAGTGTACCACAGTAGACGTCATTAACAGCCACAAGTATGATGGTTCTGGGTGTGTTGCTGTGGCAACCGCGTACTCAGCAGCAACACACTGCCTGCTTCTTGCCAACCCAGAACCAGAGGCAGAAGGCAAAAGCCAACTTCCTGATGGTAACAACCCAGGGAGTCACAGCATGGGCCATCAACATCATTCACACACGCGGGAGACTTCCTTTAGGCAGTCCGAAATCATTCCCACCTAACTCTTAAAGAAAAAAGGCACAACTCCTTTTTTCAACTGATCCAAGCAACACTCCAAGCACAAAGTATCAGAGAAATGTACAAGGAGAGGAGAAAAATTGGGGAGTGCTTAAAAAATATCAAGGCCATCTGTTTAGCTGCGTCCAGCATGAAGGTCATTTCTGGGGAGAAAAATGGAGAAGTGCTGGTCCATTTGAAAAGTCAAACTGGGAAACATTCCAGAGCTAAGAGATCAGTAAGAAAAGCAGCAGCAAGTGGAATAACTCAGTCAGAGAAAGACAAATTCCATATGATTTCACTTATACGGAAAACTAAAAGAACGAAGTAAATGAACAAACAAAATAGAAACAGACTCATAGACAAAAAGAACAGACTGATGGTTGCCAGAGGGAAGAGGGTATAGGGAACTAGGTGAAAAAGGTGAAGGGATTGAGAAGTAGATTGGTAGTTACAGAATAGCCACTAATATGTAAAGTACAGCATAGGGAATATCCTATATAATAAAAGCCTAATATGCTAAGTGTCCGGTAGTCCATTCAGCCAATGAAAGTATAATATGCTAATGTGATGGTAAGGCAGCTCAACCACTCGCTATGACATGCACTGATCACTAGCGGGCAGGTGCTCCAACTGGTAGGTTAGCTTGCTGCTGGGGTCCCGCCAATCAGGACTGAGCGAGATGGGCGAGACATACCCTGGAGCCCTCCCGAGGTCCCTCCCCAGCTGGTCAATCTCCCACGTCCCTCCCTTGCCCTGATTGTGCACTGGTGGGGTCCCTCAGCCTGGCCTGTGCCCTCTCGCAATCTGGTCTTAGGGACCACCACTCCACCCTGAGTGCACAGATTTCATGCACCGGGCTTTTAGTAGTCAATAATATTCTAACAACTCTGAATGGTGCCAGGTGGGTACTGGAAATATCAGGGAGAACACTTTGTAAAGTATATTCTTGGCTAACCACTTTGCTGTACACTGAAATTAATTTGAAATAAAATGAATGTCAACTGTAATTGAAAAATAAAATTTAAATTAATAAAAAGAAAAGCAGCAAACTCAAGCATGAGTCTTTGGAGGAAAGCTATTTCCACTCAGAGGGATAATGTGTAAAGGGGAGCAGGCCAACAGCTAGTATCTGAGGACACTGGAACCCCAAAGGAAGTGCAGGACATCTCAGACGCCACACCCTACAAAGTACTTTTGGATATTCCACATGATGTTGAAATGAAAGAGAAACTGTTGAACGTACCTTTTCCACGGGCAGAAAGTCATTGTCTACTTCAATCGACCTTGGTCTTAGCTTTATTGGCTTGTCTTTGAAAATATCTCCAAAACCCACTCCCTTAACTTTCTTCGGCTGGATTGCGGCAGTTGCAACTGTCCCATTGGCACCTTCCGATTTGGTACTGCTCGAGTCACCCCCATCACTCTCAGAGCCTGTGGTTTCCCTTAAACCTGTGGAGAGGAGGGGGGAGCAGGAGAGAAATGGCTCAGAAAAGCAGTCATAGCCAGGAAACTCCTCACAGCCAGCCAGGAACCACCTTTAAAAGAGTTACTGGGTACAGGATAACTTGCACTTGGATTTTTCATTTAGTGTTGGATATGTTGAGTTTGGGTAACTCTGATTTTGTTTGATCTCTCTGCCTCCCCCTTTAATCTTACAAAGTGAATCAACACTTTGCAGAAAATCTCATTTCAAAGATGATCTCTTTGTAAACGTGACATTTACCTCTGCTCAGCAAGAGCCTGGTTCTTATTCAAATGTGTTTTGCTACAGTTGATGCAATAGCAACCTTTCCCGCCCCTTCTCACCTCCCTGGCCAGTCAGTACCACATACTGTACCTGCAGTCTCTATGACTCATGTCAATTAGCAATTAGCAATTAGCAATGAAAGTAACATTTCCTAAAGGGAAACTAAAGCTATTTAAACAAATTAGCAATTAGAAAAATCACACAAAATTATGACTGCCAAAGAATTAAATCTCTTTGGATGGCTTCACAAGAAATAAATGTACACAGACATGTTTCTCTAGGAAAGCATTAAACCAAAGTTGACATTGAGACTAACAAGATGATTGTGTTTGTTAAAGAGAAAATGGAAGCTGCCCTCCCGAAGTCCAGAATCCCTCAAGCTCATCTTCCCTCATAACCATCACTTCTCCAATGCTGAACTCCTTTCCAAAGAACATTGGGGATATGAAACCCTTCCTTTGACCTCTTGGGGCGTGTGTTGGAAGTCACAAAATAGTTACCAGCAAGACAACATGGACACTTACCTCCCCAGATTCTTATTTCCCCAGGCTCTGCCCACAATCATGTTCCTAAAAGGAAGAGCCTATTTGTTTCTAGTTAATTTCTGGGTGTATATTCTTACTTCGATGAGAGGTACATCAGTGATGCTATCAAAGGGCAGGATTCAAAGGATAGTTTATGGCATACTAAAGTGTGCCATTAAACCTGTCTCTAAAATCCTCTAGATGACTAGGACAGCTCGTGAACATTTACTATGTATCTCCTGATGACAACCAAGCCCTTGGGATGAAAGTACACCATCAAATTTTGCTCTCTATTAGCCAATTGTGCATTATCTTCCTATAGGTAAGGTGGTCTCCTAGTATATAAGAATGATACACCAAATAATTGCTCACATAAAATGTCATAAAATGTTGAAGTCATTCAAATAAAGAAGTCTCAGTGCAGGAAGAAACTGTTAAATGAAAACAGACAAAATATAGAAAGGTCATTATAAATTGCTAACAAGTTTCAAAATCAAATCCTTAAAACAATGGCTGTGCATGTTGGCATTGTCTTCAATAAAATGGGATTTATAAGCCAAAAAAGGAGGGGGGGGGAGAGAAGGTCCACGGTGTAGATTTTAATTAATTAAAGAACAGCATTTATGAAGAAAAGAGGGCAGAGCATGAGAATAGCCCACAGCAAGGGGTCGGGTGCAAGTTACAAGGTTGGATTTGAGTGTGCAAACATGGACATCCCCTGGATTAACTATCCATTTGTTCATTGTTTTTAGACATATCCCTGCTGGATATATAATTTTTGAGTCTAAATATTGTGTCATTTGCCTCGTAACATGTTCTCATTTTGCTGTATGGATCCTTCCTTTGTGATAAATGGCTTAGATATTATTTTCTGGTTTGGAAAGAACCATTTGAGGGTAGAATAAAGAAATGGTTAGTGAAATGAAACCATTACCACCACTCTCCTGACCACGACCACCCTACCCCCCATCCCACACCCATACCACCAGAAAGCAGCTGGGAAAAGGGATTAGGGAAAGGCTGTTTCAGTTCTTCAAAAAGAAACATTTGAAGCATTCTTCTATAATTTCTCATTAGCTAAAACCATAATATTTTCAATCACTGCCATCTTGATTTCACAGAGCTTCTGGTTCAGGGATTTGCTGCCTTCCAGGCTCATCTTAATAACTTTATATTAACGACTGTGAGAAATACTTTTTATATTACATAGGAAGAGATTGCATAATTATTCAACCGCACAAGCATGAACTGGGAAGGAAACACACGGCAGATTTTTCTTCCAGAAATTCTGGCAGCCTGCTTCTATCTATCTTAAGTATTATATGTAAATTAAATATCTGAATACCTAGGTTGGTGAAATCTAGTTCCTTCTGGTTGGAAGGGGAAAAAGGTGACTTTTCATTTTCATGTCTGTTTGGTACAGCATCTTTTAGCTACTAGGTCCCATTACATACACTATCCTATAAAATGTTCCTGTGTAACACTCAGAACTCCAGGTGACACTCTCAGGCAATACAACCTGCCTATTGGGGCCAGTTTGTGAAAGGCTCTTTACTGATACACAGTGAGCTAGGTGCAGAAAGGTTGGAAACGCCTATAGCAGTATGCACTGGTTTGACTTCCAGATGTGGGCAGTGGACTCACGTAGGTGAACAGGGAATAGATCCATCTCACTTTATCAAATGCCTGTGGTGAGACCCAGTAGAGCAGTGCGGACACAGTAAAGTCATGTACAGCAGAACCAGGTATCTGTTCACCTGGGAACAGGAATAAAAATACACTTCACCACAGACAGTCTGAGAAGCACAGTTTTGGTGTTCTCACCTGAGCCTTCTCTTTCAACTTCTGTAGATGTATGTATGTATTTATGCATGTGTATACATGCACATCAAGGTGGGTGTCTCTCCTTCAAGGTGAAAAAGAACAAAGTCTCCTCAAATTTGCTTTGGCCAGTCACAGACTGTCCACTTTTGTGTAATTTACCTTAATATTCCAGCACTGATCAATTCAGACCCATGGGCTATTTTGATTTATTTTTAATTCACATGTTTAGTGCTCATTATGTGGCAGGAACTGTCCTAAGGGCTTCGTAAGAGTCATCCATTAATCACATTCACTTCCTTCCTCTCAACTTTCGGCAACTTTATTTCACAACACAAAAGGCTACACTTTGATTCCGCCAAAGAAGTCTGCCGTGTGGTGAATGGCTGAATGAGCAAAGCAAAATAATGGTTTCTGGCATGGACTTCCATGCCAAATTTTTATTTCTTTGAACCACACAATGGAGAAATGGTTTATTAGTTTCCAATGACTATAAGTGGTTGACATCTCCACAGGAAGCCATCTTACAGCACCCCCAAGGCCTAGAGATACCGGTACAAATACATATGCATGACAAATGCTACTGATTGCTTCTCTGCACGCATGGTTCATGCACCCATGTCACACACATGATAGAGGCACAAAGCAAACAAGAAAGCACCAGCGGCTGGTGGTGGGAAAGCTCTTGTAGCATACACCAAGGAGATGGCACTTATCTCAGACAAATAAGTCCATGTCCTTGGACCAGAAATTCACAGACACTTGGCAGAAGCATGAGCAGCTCGGGAAAGTGCAGCTGCATCAAAAAACACAAGTACCCAGATCTTATCTTTACAATTGCCTCCTGCTGTTAAGGTCACTCACTGTAATAACGTCTGTGGCCCTCCGTCTTTCCCGGTGCAGCTCGGTACAGAATTGTCCCTTCAAAGGTAGTCTTTCCTGACAGTGAATGAGAGAACAGAAGGGGAGAGAAAAACAAGAGAGGGGGGAAGGGGGAGCAAATGATGGCAAAGGAAGGAAGAGGAAGAATCTTTAACTGAACTTGCCTTCAATGAATCCACTGCAAGAGCTTCATCCGCAAACTTAATTAGAGACCATTAGGCAAAATTTCAGAATGTTACAGAATGAGCCCAAAGTCCCCATGCAACCACAATACACAATCATGAGGCCCCAGAACTAGGGTTTGCCTCTGTACATGACTGGCATGTAGATTATGCTCTATTTAAACCGGGAAGCCATTTCAACATTATAATTCAAGAATAGGCAAACCTCAATTAATCAGAATGAATCCAATTAATTGGAGTCCTTAATTAACTCAATTGTACACACTATCTTCTCTTTGGAGAATATGACCCAAGCATAATATAGATTCAGACCCACCATCTTTTATCTTTTAACCCTAGGTCCCTGCATGATACAAATGGATATTCATGACTGCAAGATTCTAAACAAGGCATGACATTCTCTTTAAAATATATATTTATTACCCTCAGTACTTTTAAGCAAGAAAATGTACTAATTTACTAGAGGGGGGTTTCACCAGTGAGGTGAAACCAATAGTGGCATCCATGTTGATACAAGGGGTTTTCTGTTTAGCACTAACGATTTCAGAAAACTCTATTTCTTGAAACATATTAATTGAGGTTTCATCATATCAGTCATGACACTACTAGATACTCAAGCATGAGGACATAGGACTCACCCAGTGTCAAATGTCAAAATATATCTTTTTTTGTTATTACAAATAGAGGTTATCAATAGCATAAAATTGGACACATGGCTAAAACCCAAATCTCTGTGGAACCATGAGTAAGTACATAAAACATACACACATACAACCCCACTTTGAGTGTACACACACACATACACACAAACACACACACACGCATGCTCTCACATGTGTTTATATGCCCTACAGAGAATACTATCAGCAGGTAACTTGATTTGCTAAAGGCAAACTCTATTAATAAATGCATTACTTTAAATTACCCAAGAAATTAGTTCTATTATGGTTTGTGAGCTAAATATCGATCAGACACCAGTAATACAGCCTTATAGTAAGTCTGAGGGGTAAAAAGGCAGGCTACACTTACAGAGAGACAGAAAAAACTGAGATGGAATAGAGCAACTTCTCTCACTTCTAAGAAATACTCATTAGGATCCATAGTGTCAGCCTCTGGGCCATGTCACCCCTAATACATGAAGGTGCTGTGAAAGATCAGACCAACAATTTAAGTAGAATCAGGTATAGACAGTCCTTGGGTTACATTGGACTCAATGTACATCATCACATGGTTACATTGCCATTTCCCATTTATTTATTTAAAAAAAAGTTCTGTCATTTCGATGTATGCACA